ACTTGTAAAAATGCCCCTAGTAGGTTCATATTTTTTAATCTTCAGTACCAAAGCTCCATAACTACAGCAAGGCATTAGTTTCCGATGACTAGCTAACCTTTTTTTCTATAGCCTCTGGCATTAAAACTCTCAGTGAAAAGACACTTTAGAGCTAGTTCGGGCAGTTCATTTTCTGTCAATCAACTCTTAGGCTGGAAATATAAAGGCAGCAACATGACAAGATTTCTATTTTAATATCTTTACTCTTGATAAGATAATCCTAGAGGAAYGGTGGTGATCAAATATTTACAGGCAGTGCTCACTGACAGGGTCTATTGTAAAATTAAATACATAAAATTATGTGGGGATAATGTTAATGTTGTGATAGAAGGACAAAAGGCAGCGTGCTCGAAATGAAGGTTGACTCTTCTTAATATACCCTCTGAGGCAGGGACGGGCGCTGCTGGCATGGGGAAGAGAAGAGCAGCTTTCATTTCACATTTTGTGACCTTTCTCTGCTTTTCAGTTGCTTGTTTGCTATTTAAACACATTTGCTTACTTGATGATCTTGATTTTTAGGTCTGTATTTGTGTGTGTGTCCTGGCTGTCTCTGAGATGCACTGCATGGATAAAGAGGGCTGGAGAGAAAAGGATTTTCACAGAGCCACTGCCTTGGGGGCCAGGTTTGGTGCCAGCCCTGGTTTGGGCTGCTCTGCAAGGGGCTGTGCAGGGCACAGGGCACAGCCTGGGGGCACATGGKGGGTCTTTGCCCTCTCTGCATCATCAGAGCTAGCAGTTATCTCTGGGAGCATTTCCTCTGCCCCTGCAGACACACACGAGCCCCAGGACAGGTGCAAGTGCCCAATTTCCTGGTTTATCACTGATCCATGAGACTTAGAGCAAATGCACTCAAGGAGAAATCTTTATAAATGTGGGGTTTTTTTTCTTTTTTTTTTTTTTTTTTTTTTGTACCCACCAAGGCCCCTCTGCCGTCGCTCTGTAATGATGCTCCACCGACGCTCTGCCGGAGCCCTGGGGAAAATGAAGTGCTGATTTAGGCTGAAAAGCCAGTGCGAGCTAATATGGGAAATTACTCCAGCAATCATCACTCTTTCCCTGTCACTATGGTGACAAAAGAAATGACAAAAACCTGAGCAGAAGGATAGGGTGACACAAGTAGAGAGGGACAGAGCAAATGCTCAGCAGCTGTGGCCAGGTCCAGGCAGATCCAAGGGGGGCCGGGCAGGGCAGGAAAGCTGGAGGAGCCAGCTGCTCAAGGGTGGGTGCTGCTGTGTCCTCACAGTGACACAGTGCCAACCCCACACTGCAGTCACTGCAGCTGCCACAGAGCTAAAAAACACAATAATCCTGGTCCTACAAGGCTTTCATGTCACAGCTTTATTCCTAACTCACTAATCACATTGATTTTTGCACCATCTTCCTCTGCAGGACTTGTTTGCCACCTGCCCTAAGGTGARCCTGGCCTCCTCCCCACAGTGCCAGCAGCTGAGCATCCTTACAGGACACAGCCAGGAGCTCTGCTCTTCCCAGCCAAGGCAATGATCACCTGGGACTTGGAAAAGGTGGCCAAAATGAGTGGGAGAGCACAGGGGGACGTGCCTGGAGGCAGCYAGGACCCAGAGGAGCTGCTGAAGGCAGGGCAGTGACTCTGGCTGCTCAGCCCTTTGTCCCTGCAGCACTGCTGGGGCCATTCAGCACCACGCACACAGGTCACCAGCTCCCAGATGCCCAAACAGCAGGTGCTGAGCTSCTCAAGGAGAGGAGTATCTGGAGGAAACTCCAAATAAGAAATGGGGCAGTTGCAGCAAAATGTGCAGGTCCAARGACAACTTGCTCAGGAGTCTCAGGTGAGAGGTTGTCCATGTGTTGGTGCCCATCCTGCAGAGACACTTCAAGCCCTGGGGGCCAGGAGGATTGAACAGCATCCAATGCCTTTGCCACTTCGAGTTTTTATTTTGTTTGGAGTCACCTTCTAAAGGAGGAAAAAGGGTGAGGTGCAGTGGGGGAGCAGAAGAGGGTTCTGGAGGGAGCAGTGGGGAAAATCTTCATCCTGAATTGCCAAGCCAAACACACCCTCTTCCTCACCACATTTTTTTATTTTTTTCAGGAGGGAAAACTGTATTTTCCAGCCAGCTCTGCTCATGAGTGATTGTGCAGAGCTCTGCTAATGGGCTCTGCCAAGCTGTGGTCACCCTACGGAGCTATTGGCAGGAGAGGTGGCAAGTTGGAGAGGACTACAAGGGAACTCTGCATGATATTTTTTGATGAGCTGATTATTCAGAAATTTCACAAGAGCTGAAATCTATCACTCTGTTCTGAAACTCACAGCCCTGCCAACACACAGGACAGCTTACATGAGCAGCAGCATTTTCTCCTTCACAGCGTTGCTGGCCCCCGTGTCAGGAGCCAGATGTGGGAATCGGACAAGGCTTTTCAGCAGCCATCRACCACAGTGACAGTGAGAGGTGGGGAGTGGATTCAGGGACACAGAAATCTGACAAAGAAATWATTTTGGTACTTTCATGGCTGTCTCTAAGTGTGTATTTGGGCTTGAAAGTTTTTCATTAGTTCTGTGGGTACTGGGGCATTTAGATTTTTATTGCTTTACAGCTGGGTCTGAGATCACCCCAGATCCCACATGGATTCAGGTATTTTTATTTTGGGAATGCTTGATCCCTGGCYACATTTCAGGGTACTGTCACCTGCCAGGAGCTGTCCTTGACTCTCCCCATAGCAGTCAGGACCCTTTGTCTCAGCGTTGYCCTGAGTCTGCAGCCAAGTCAGGCTCCCACAGAGACCAACAGAACATTTTCCCTTCTTTCCAGTATTAATTAAAAACAAAAGACTGGGTTATTTGAGCACAGAAACAAAAGAGAGCCTGATACCCACCTGGGGGTGGGTGAATGTGTGCTGGGGGAGGTTCGAAGCAGCATCGATTTCAGAATTAATGCACAAATTCTTCAAGGAGCTGCCATGGCCCGTCCCCAGCCCATTGGTCTGTCAGCACACACCATTTTCAGTTGTCTGGGGTGGCATCAGCTGTCCCATGGAGGACCAGGGGCTGGCACATCTGCAGCAGGAACAATGCTGAATTGCTGAAAGACAAGGAATAAATATCCTGATGCTCAGAGCCTTTGCTGAAAGCACTTGAGCTGCCTGGCGTGGCAGGATGTGAATGCATGGGCTGATGTGTCCCCATAAGATCTGTGCTCCCAAAAACCTGTCTGTGGGAATTAACATTCCTGAGACACCTCCTCTGCAATTTCTGTTCCAGGGCAGGCAGGGAGGGCACAGAGGCCATGTAGAGCCCCATCCTGCTCCCAGCCTGCTCCCACAGGTCTGTGAGGCACCGTGGCTGAAACACAGCTGGTTTGGTCATGGAAACAGAGGCACAGCCCTCACAGCCCTTCAGAGAACTGCTGCTTCAGGAAAAACTCCCAGAAACTGAAAATGAAACTCAAACATCTGTGTGTCAGGACAGGGAATGAGGACCTGAGTTCTGTCCTGTTATGAAATCACCCCATGGGGGCTGCTCCTCTTGTGCCATGTCCATCTGARCCCCTGCACAGGTGATTTTTYCCATTTTTCCAGCCCACAGGMAATCCCCAGGWGGGTGAGGGATGAAGGTTGAAAAGGACAAAGATGGTTACAAAGCCATCAGAGCCCTGAGCACAGCATCTCTGCATACAGCTCCCTGCCTGCGGAAAATTAAGTCTGTAAGGAGTATATAAATGATCCAGACACCATCCTCAAGGCCCAGGTCTTAAAAAAAGGCAAGGGTTTACTCCACATACTGCTGCAGGATGTCATGTACTTCATGATCTGCCTTTTCTAATCTCCCCTTATCTCTCACTCCAATCCTTTCTCATGTCCCTCATCTATTGCAAATTCCCTTTTTAAGCTGGAGCGAAGCACATAAATATTTTCATGCTGCATAAATAGGTTGTTTTGTGCATAATGTCACAGGAGGCTTTTTTTAAAAACAGGACCTTTAGTGCTGTGATAACGGCCTCCTCATTTACACAAATGAAATCTTCCATGGAGCTCAGCATTCATCTGCTCTGCAGCCCCCGTGCAGAATGGTTGGCGCAGCGCCCGYTCATCACAGGCTACGGAATTAATGGAGAATATTCCATACTAAATAGGAAGCCATTGAGCACCAGGTTTGAAAATACCTTGCAAAATGGAACTGATGCTGAGGTCTTTCTTTTGGCCTTTCCCAGCAGCACAACCGTTGTCTTCCTTGGATGTGAAATCACAGCTATTTGAAATGCTAAAGTGCAAAAGGACTGCCATTTGTGTTGGCCCATTTTCCTGCATCTTTGACCATTCTGTCTGCTCACCTTACCTTCTCTGTCACTTCTTGCTCCCTGACCTTCATTTCCTGTTTATTCAGCCCTTGCTCAGGGTCTAAAAAGTGCAGACACCATCAAAATGGACTTTTCATTTACTCTGCACAGAAAAAGAAATAGTGTTACAATCCACACAGCTTTTAAAAGGGCTAATGGAAGATATTGGGGGCCACACTGGGTCATGGAATCAAATCTTGGAATCAAACTGGTTTTTAGGAGCAATATTTAAATAGAASCAGAGTAAAAAAACTGGAATTAAACGTCAGTGATTGTGCTCTAGTATTTCTGTTTATATYTGACAAGCATAAAGGCTTCAAGCCTGAATTGCTGTGCAGGACAGAGCAGAGAGAGACTTGGGGAAAATGATGAGAGTTTATCCACTGTGCCTTTTCATACTTTTCAGGTCAGGTTGTAACCCTCCAGGACAGACTATCATGGAGCAGTTTAATTCGTTCTGGACCATGATCACACTGWGCTCCCAGGCAAAGCTCTGCCAGGCTCTGGCTGGGACCTCACCCTGCCCTCCTCAAACCCTCAGGCAGACTCTGCACCCTATGGCCTCCCTCAGCATGACTCTTACTGAAAGACTTGGGAGCATTTTGCTYCTCATCCTGACTTTGGGGGACACAGAAAGCTTCGTTTGTTTCTTTCCCTGCAGTTCCGGAGAAGGATTATGGGTGCTCTTTTCATGCAAATCTAGCGGACTCACTTCTTCTCTCCCATCTGTTACTTGACTCCTTTTGCTGTGTTCTGTGTTAGCAATCAGCAGCTAACCCACGGTGGGTTTGTTCCTGTGCAGGGTTCTGAACACGGCATTTCTTGCTGGGAGATTGTTCCCCGTGGGCAGCTCCCACTCGCTGTTTGTGGTGCCAGACTAACCCTGATGTGATTACTACCCCGTGAGCAGCTTCACACATTAATTTATAGTTTTACAGAAGTGTTCTGTATCACCTTAAGCTCCAGAAGCCTTGTCATAATGCATTAAAAGAACAGAGAATAGAAAAATCACAGGAAACTTAGTATTTCTTTTTACAGAACTCATCTGAAGAAAAACCAGCTCTCCAAGTCCTTTYCTTGGCTGGTCTGTAACAAAGCCTTGGTTTGTGTGAATTGCCACACTGCTAAAAGATCTAATCTTTCTATGATAAAATAGCTTACATACAATAACTGAATCAAAGAGCACAACGTGGAGTAAACACTTTATAATGCACCTAAACACAATAGCTACCTGATTTTCCTAGCACTTTATTTCAATTTAGGCCAAGGGACAATTTATAAAGATTCATTCCCAAGTACACAATTCAGGAAAATATGAGTTACAATTCAGAGCAATATTTTGAACCAGTGCTGTTTAGTTGTCTTCGCTGAAATTCAACCTTGATGATATCCAAAGGTCCAATAAAATTTTTCATAGAAGAATCCCATATTTGTAGAAAATAATAAAATTGTTGAGCTGCAGCTCCAGGGCCACGGAGAACTGGAGAATGAGGTTGTTCTTTCTGGGGACTTCCTGATGTCATGGGATGTGTTCCAAACACTTTGTTACCTGAGAAATATCAAACATAACAGGTCGTTACATATAATAGCAGCTTTGATCTTTGTTAGTGAGACAAAATGCGAGGCTGTTTATTACTAACGACTTGGGTGCTCATTAGTGTGCTCTGACAGGAGTCACTGACAGCAACAGGCAAAAGGAAATGTTCAGTGTGAAASCCCCACACAGCACATTGCAGCTCCTATCACAGCCTGTGCAACAGAGAAGGGAGAATAGCCTTGCACACAACWGTTCTAAAATTATTTACCAGAGCAAGAAAGAGATTTGTTTGATTTATTATCTGCTTTTTCAATAAACTGCACCGCCAAATAATACTAATGCCTGCCTTTCACAGTATGCTTTTCATTCCTGACTCACAAAGCACCCTTGGACAGAGGTCAGGATCATTTCACAAAAAACAAACATGAAGTGAGGCCACCTCTCTGATGTCCCTGAGTAAGACAGCACCATCCCCAGCTCTGCTGACCAGTCCTCATAGGAACAAAGGATTAGAAAGGGCATCTTGTGTCAYCTAATCCAGCTTCTTACTCTTCAAATCTATTTTGCTGTAATAACCTCATGCAAGACTCTTTGGGGCTCATGATCTTTTATATAAGCTCCTAAAAATCATCTTTCAAGGCTATCATSTCTTGTATATCCTCATCCATCCTGACCCTGTGCTGGGACTCTGCCTAATGCCAAGGAATTACACCCCCCAAAAATGCTCAAGCCTCACATGCTGGAGAATGAATGGGGCATTTCTTGCCATGTCTGCTCCAATTTTATGCATCTCTTGATGATCCACCCTAGTAAAAGATCTGCAATAGGTGCCATGACAAACCTGGAAGGTGTTTCTGAAGCAGAGGAACAGAAATGCTGAGAGGCTGGCAGCTGTGGAAGCTGTGTGTGCTATCCCTGCACAAACTCAGGGCACAGCAGCTGCTGCAGTGGCAGCTGGAGGTTTGCAGCAGCCCCAGGTGCCCACACAAATGGGGAATTTGGGTTTATCCCCGCAAAACCTCTGCCTTTGTGAGAAGACTGAAATCCTGCCAAACAACACAGCCTCAAGTACGCTCAGTCCAACACATTTCCAGCATCCATCACCCCCTTCCTTTCTCAAATAACTACTTACTGCAGGAGTTATTAATGCCTTTCCACCCACACAGCCCAGACACCGACACTCACAAAGGCAGTGCTCAGGCTCTGAGGTCATGTTCGAGCTGCTGGCCCCAGCATCTCTCTGGGCACTTCYATTATGCAGCAGCTACAGCAACAGGATGCCGCGGTACAAACCTTTGCTAATAATTGAGCATGAAATGGGCTTTTGGCTTGGGATCTTCGGTTTTGTACCTTCACTTCACAACGTGTTTAGAGCTGGCTTCAATAGTGGGAAGATTATTTCAGCTTATTAAACACGAAGCTGTTACCCGAGTGTCAGACGCGGGCACAGCCCCGACCCCGCTCCCCGGGGCTGCGCTCGGATCTTGCTGCTGTTGTGGCTGCAATTCCCYAGCCACCCACTTCTTTGTTTGATTGTCTATTCTCACTGAAACATATGTTTCCCATTCCCACGGCATTTTGAGCAACAGTTTCCATTGTGAGCCCCTCCTGACTGACAGTTCGATGGCAGCCTGTGAATCGCTTGGCACGTGTTTTGTGAATCTGCTTCTGCTCTGTCASAGCATCCTTTGGCAGCTTCGGGGGCAAGAGATTAGCACCGTTTTAACACAGGTTTGGGCATAAAAATACCCAGCCACAGTTGATATCGTCCTTATTTGAAGCACAGCACCGTCCTGCACCTCAGCTCTTTTACCCCACGTCCTGGCACAAATGCCCACCAGTTGTGCTCTGCTTTCTCAAWTTTCCTCTCATACAATGTGACACACAAAGCCAAGGATGAATCAAGAACTGATCACACTGACAATATTTGGTTTTGACCGGCAAGCCCAGGTAGTCACTGAGGCTGCTGGATGTGCAGGTTAAGAGAATATTTGGCTCTCTATCAGCTTTCCTCACCAGCACTAACACATTGCTGCTTTGCCTTTATGCTGTACAATCTTGCCTGTGTCTCTGGCCCTGATGTTTCCACTGTAGCTGTAATTACAGGATCCAAGCRGGGCTGTATGGAATCCATGTACTGGACAGCTGAATTAAATGGCCACCTACAGGGAAATGAAAGCCCAGAGAACGAGGTGTATAGCTTCCAGCACTGTTCTACTTCCAGCCTCAAACCAGAGCCCTGGAATGGGTGTGAGAGGGACATTATTGCTTCCCACAAGARGATGACATTTCATTTATAACTCCAGCTAGCTCTCCTGTAGCTTTGTTTTCATAAGAAATAATCATATGTTTCAAGCAGAAAAATAATCAGCCTCGACACTGAGGCTGCTGTGCATTAGCAGAACACATTTGGGGAAGCCTTTTGCCCTGAGCTCTCTGGCCTGGTGTCACTGCTGTTCACACTCCCTGCACCCCTCCTGGCTGTTTATGCCTTCCCTCGAAGAGAGAATGTAATTCCTGTGTACAAACCTTCTCCCACTGCAGAGTTGGAGGGTCTGGATACTTCACACTTAAAAAATWCCAGCAAGGGCCTGATTATGTTTGGTGGATTTGTGTTGATAATTAACTTTCCTCGCATCCCATTGAAAWGACAAAAAGATTACTTTATATGTACTTTCTGCAGAAGAAATAGAATTTTGGGTGGAGAAGCACAGACCCTGTGATTTGATCCATCTTCTCTTTGCTATTTCCAACTACTTAAAGCATAATGTCACACTGAAATGCACACTTGGAGTGCTGCATTCTCTTCTGACAGATTGTTATGATGTTTTTCAAGGTGACCTTCACAAAACATGTTTCTTTTGAGGCTTCACTCTGGGGTCATAATAGTTTCACACAGACAAGCAAACTGTCAGCTTCTGTTTTCTAATTAATGCTTCTTGGAGGCTTCTAGTGGGGGATATAATTAATAGCACTTAAGTCTGGAGTGCACAGAAATCTATAGCAGATTACTGGGATGTGCATTTCCTTCAGGATTGAAGACAAACAGCTCCCAGGCCATTCCCTCTCGAATTCCCCAGGCCCTGGCACCACCCTGACTCTAACTCCAGTAAGCACCCCAAAAGCTGTCCTGCTTATAAAGGGAGGCTTGGAAACTGCTGAGGGTCTCTGTCTGCTGCAGYCCTTGTCCCTGCTCCTGTTCCCCACACCACAGAATTTGTGTTTTTCACARTTCCTGGTGACTCTGCTTTGCAGGAAATACCCCTGACCGTGTCTGTGTTGTCCCTGTGGTGCCCATCCAGGGGACACCCTGTTCTGTGTCCCACAGGGCAGGTACAGCATCTTCTGTGGCAGTCTGTGTCTTCACTGCATCCCATATCCACTCCGTGGATCACAGGCATAGCTGTTATTTTGTGGTTTTATGCAGTTTAAAGTACCAGAAATAATAGGAGGGTTTTCCTTACAGTAAAACAAGCAAAGATGGGTGTTGCAAACAATTTTGTCATCCTTGCCTAAATTTAAGGGAAGTGATGGGATTGCTCCGGTGTTCACTCTCATGCATGCAGCATGAATTGTCACACTCCAGAGGTGCTGGAGCAAAACCAGATGCAAGTCAAATTGCCAGTTTAAATTCCCCCTGGCCAGCTGCTGCTATCAGGGGTAATTTCCCTGCTGAAGTCAATAGAACAGCATTGTTCCACACATGCAGTGATCTTGGTGCAGAACAGGCAGCTGTGAGGCAGGATGAGTGCTCTCAAAAAATATGTGGGGAAAAAAAAAAGAATAAAATTTATACTCTCTGGAGAAGCTGSAAAGACTATATTATCCAGAAGCATTGCCAGACTGGGGCCATGGGGAAGAATTGACACCAGAAATCCTGCAAGGTTCTGCAGGACACATTATTTGGAGGGATTTTTATAAGAATTTGGCATGTTGTACAAAACAAAATATTCAGGTGGTAAAGCAATTAAAAGCTATTGAGCATTTGTAACTCCAAGCACTTGGCAACAGAATATCCCTGTCAACTTCTTTATGCAAGGGGACAATTTGACATTGTCCTTAAGACTGACTACTTTTCTAATGACATAAAAGTATTACTTGAGTTATGCATAAAATTAGAAAACTTCTACTGAAACTTGTGCAGCCTGGTTCTTTCTTCAGAAACAACAACACAGAGTGAAACTGCCTTTGAAGAGAAACATTTTCCACTGAAGGTTCCACTACTATCTGAAGGTTAGTAACTCTTTTAATCTTTAGCCTTTTTGCTGGCATGTGCAATTTAAAATTCACAAAACAGACTATCAAAACACCCAGCTATACATAGTTAGAAAATTCAAAAGGTGCATCTGCAAAGAAGGTTGGAAATTGGGATGCTGCATCAAATCCTGCTCTTTAAGTCAGGACATTTTCCCTATGGATCCACCTCAAAACACAACCAGGTTATCAAACACTGCTGACCACAGGACAGTCACTAMTGAACGAGAAACAGCTCCTAAAGAGGTACAATCTTTGTGTTACTAAGCAAAAGAGTGACTAACTGGAGATCTAGCTAAGCTGGSCTTCTTTGAACAAAACAGTGAATTMGAAAAATAATGCATGAGGCCTTAAAATTGYTATTTRYTGGCTGCAGAACACCCACATTCAGCTCTTTCTRTCTTTCCCTGTGCTCCATGAAAAAACCTCAAGTCAAGTGTCATTCAGGTAAACCTATAAATGCCAAAATAAATCCTTTGTAGGTGAATACAAGAATAGCTTCAAAGAAGGATGCATATAACCTTGCTAATTTGCCAAAAGTTTTCAATCTTCATCACTTTAGAAGCAAGGTTAAGAGAGTAGATAAAGGCTGGGAAATGCAGAAGGTGYTGAGATACACCTTTATTGCAGGTTCAGAGCCTTAAACCTCAGAAACAAAATAATGTCAGGGAGAAGAGATTGACAGTGATGCCTTGTGTTGGGAATTAAGGGTTGGAAGGACTGCCTGTACCAGGCACTCTCATGATAATGATGCCAGGAAGATTTAATTTACCAGTTTGTTCTAGGAAAGGTAATGACCTTAACATCACGGGAAATGTAGCAAGAGGTCATCCATGCAGACACATGCTGATTCATTTTCATAATAAATGGAAATAGATGTCCAGCCACATGAATTTGCTTGCAGGAATGAATTTACACCATCTATCCAGCTTTGTGTTTGGTATCAGAAGAGATAAAGAACATTTTATTGATCTGTGGGGATTTAATTCCAACCTCTTTGAGAATCTCTAGGAAAAAAAATGCATTTTCAATTCATTTCTGACCACACCAAAAAATCCCCCCAAAACCTACCAAATGAATAATGGGAAACAATATCACACCGGAATGGGGATWTTCCATTTTCCCCTAAGTACTGTTCATTTCTTGCTTGCCATAGATGAAGCACCACATAATGCCTCTGTTAGAGGAGAGTGCTTACACATGCATTACCAAGGATATGCTCTTCCTGCCTGAGTAATTCATTTTTGAGCAGCATATTTCTGAGAAGGTGAAAAGTGGGTGTCTAAACGCATCTCCAGTGCAGCCAACGCAGAAATGGGATGGTGCAGCCCAAACCCTGCTGCTCCAAACCCTGGAGGTCCCAGCTGCTGGGGAGAAATTYCCTTCACAGATGGGAATTGCATGTGTTACACGGCTTTTTCTGTGCCCRTCCACAGAAGGGCTGGCACAGCTACTTTGGCTGGAGAAGACAAGAGCGTGGTCATGATGCAAGAAAAAATGGAAGGGGAAGGCTGATGAACTCCAAATGGAGTCATCCAAAATGCCATCCAAATGGCAGAGTGGCACAGGAGATGAGAGCTGCCACCTAAGTGTGTGCACARCGGCGAGTTTAGCTCAACATTTCTCAAACTGGGCTGCCAGCAGTGAGTCACACACAGAGAGGAGGGTTATTTATGGCATTTCGGTTCTTCAGAGGAGAAACATGAAACAGTCAGAAATGACAGAGAAGGGAGAGTTCTGGATGATGGCAAACAGCATATGGGGAGCAGGGCAGAGGCAGCTTTTGGCATCCTTGCTGCAGTGTTACATCCCAGCCTAACTCACACTGATCTCCAGGGGCCAGTTCATTCCTGCTGGAAGAATCTGACTCCTGGGACTCCAGGTACAAAATGAAAAACTCTCAATTTCTAGAGCACCAATGTTAGTGTTTGCCAAGTGCTTTCTCTTTTCTATTCCTCCCTGCAAAGCTGTTTTTTTTTTTTTTTTTTTTTTTTTTTTTTTTTTT